CCGTCCAAACTGACATGAATTTTGATTATAAGTTGCACAACGTTCCGACCATCGGTTCTGATCCTTATCAACAAAATTAATTACCTAAATTTAAATAAATTTTGTAATTTAATTATAGCACTTGATAAGCACCGATGGTCGAAACGTTGTGCAACTTATAATCAAAATTCATGTCACTTTGGTCGGAGAAAAATAATAAAAAATTTATTATTAACTTTACACTGACGACTTACTTTACTTCTTAATCATATTTGTTCAATTATTTGGATCTTCATGAAGTTGAACTGACTTTTCTTTTGAAAATGCAACAAATTAGAATTTTTACAAATTTAATAGGCTTTGTAAAACAAATTATTTCTATTAAGACTTAATATTTTTATAAAATTTTCTTTACTGAAGAAATAATCTTTCTTAATGCGAGGACATCGCTCACGATTTACTTTCGGTCCAATATTGAGAAAATTTATTTTCTCAATGACGTAGTTTATATATCGATTGATCCACTCGGAGCTCAGCACGTCACGAATAAGGACTTAGGGTTAACGTCTTGACCCTCGGACAAACGTCGGGTCCGAAACATCCCTATAAAGAATCGGTGCGGTTAAACGAAGCAATTTGTAGACCATCTTTTGCTCGCCCACGCGATTCCGCTGATTCATGAATTAAACAGCGCCGCTTCGTTTTGCTGCAGGTATATATACGTGTGCGAGAATATGCAGAAGGGTTAGTTGTGTGTATGTGCGATATATATGCGTGTTATTGCTCAACAAACTCGATGTTTTCTCGCCATCGCAAACGGAAAAAAATGATCGAGACTAACAGGAAGAAAGATGGAATGGGGCCAATTACTGACGACCTGTCGGCATTTCACTTCTTTTCGTACTTGGACCCTTGAAAAGTCTGAAAAGATGTCAGGAAGGAAGAGGGTGGTGCAATATAATATTGTGAAAGCGCCACAAAACTTTTCCCTATTTTTTATCGAGAAAAAATCATCATTTATTATGATGAGAATTTAATATTTTTGCGGACGAGGCACATGAATTAATTTTGCTTCCTCCATTTTTGCGGAAATAAGCATTTTAAATATAAATATTTTTGAATATCATTTTTCTAGCGAATATCATTCTTATTAATTTAATTATATATAATTAAATTAATAAATTTAATTAATAAATTTATAAATTAATAAATTTATAAATTAATAAATTTAATTATATGTAATTAAATATAGTATCCATTTTTTAGTGACTATATACATTTAGATGGATACATCTACAATATAAATGTCGGTTTATATTTTCTGAAACTCTTGTGGCAAATTTATTGCACATTGCAGATGAAAAAGAAATATATGTTTTATTTTTATGGATTTTATTAATTAAATCAAGTTTTATTACGTCGTGTATATACACGGTACGATATATATTACGTTAATAGTGACAATTTATTTGTCATTCTTGATGGATCCCGCCGTAAGGCAAGCGTGACGACGAGGCGATATTTTTGCAAAAAACACGACGGCTCATACCGCACGGAGAAACGTTGAAACAATTGATAAAAAAATATTTAGCAATTGAATCAAGCGCTCGACGAGCGCGTGCTTATATAAACCGACTGCGTATACCGACTCGAAATATTTGTTGTTCTTCAATAAAACGTTACCAACACTGTCGCACAACGTTCGACAACTCCTATTTTTTATCCATACTCCGTATAGTATAACGCGTCAGTAGTGACGCCGACGTTATTACGGTAATACTATTTGCACCACCGAGTAAGCAAACCGGGAGGGTTTATACAGAACGTCGAATGGAAACGAAAGCGGGCGCACGGCCCGCTGATTACAAAATGCAATTAATTAATGATTACTCACCAGAGAACTCTGAGAGAGAAAGAGAGAGAGAGAGAGAGCGCGCTCTCGGTCGCTGGATATCACTGCACCGCACCGGCTGGGAAAGTTTCCGGCGAGCTGACCGTGCTTATCTAACTGGAGTAGTGGACACAACCGTGGCGAATAGTATAGCCCTGGTCCCGCCGTATAACTTGGCCGGGACTTTGTCGCGAGACATGTCGACCATTTCGGCTAACGCTCGTCACATTGTACACCACGTGCAACACCGGGCTACCCACGCTGCATCTCGTCAATTTACTCCAAGTCGCTGTGCGATGTACACCAGCACCAGGACAGGGTAGCAGCTTGACCGCAAAGATAGTATCTCGGCGGATGCCTTCGAGAACGTCCGCCAACTTGAGCACTGAGCTAACTCGAGGGATTATGCAGTGGAATTTTACAGCCACCATATGCATCTATATTGGGATTCAGTGAGATTAATCGATGGAAATTGCAATTTTAATTATTCAATTATTTCAATAAAATTATTTGACGTTGATTAGGGTGTCCAGCAGACTTAATGAAAAAAATTCCCTGAGTTTTTCATATTTTATACAAGACCAGAAATTCATTTTTTCCCTGACTTTTTAGTATTATTTTTTCCAAATATATAATTTGCATATATCTATATGATAAATCAATTTAATGTTAAATTATGAAATCTTTGAGATATTTTTGTTAATAATGAAAAGATTCGAAAGTTAAAAAAAAACAAAAATTTAAATTAATTACAAGATATTAAAATTTAATTTATTTAATCATTAATCGTGTGAGTTATAAGAAAGTTGGACGAGTCATAAGATTCAAAATACACATTATATAAAATTTGAAATCTAAATCCAGGTAATATTTTATACACACATATTATTTTTTAAAGAAAATTTTTTATCATTTTTCACATTTCGTAATTAAATTTTTTAACAATTTAACGTCAAGTAATAATTTAATGAAATAAAAAAATGAGAACTACGCAAAAAAACTCTTGTTATCGATTTTAAATTGAAGTTTGATGTATGAGCAACTTTATTCCGATTTGATTTTAATACAAATGCATCTAATGTTTTCGCAGCATGTGATTTCAGGACTTTGATCCGTGCAGAGCGATAAAGCGATAAAGAGATGCATAAATGGTTTTTAGTTGAATCATTCGAAATAATATGATTTCTTGGAAAGCTGTACACTGTCGCATTAAAAAAAAGAACTTGCATGATAGTAAAAACGCAAATACCATGCAAATGATATGCATATACGGTTGAAAATCCTTTTCACAATATTTTCTCGTGTCAGTCAGACGAAACAGGATTTTCGCGGAAAATTCTGCGTGCAAAATGATGCACGTGGAATTTAAGAGAGAGAGAGAGAGAGACGGGAAGGAATTGTATAGTAATTACTTTAATGACATTGCGGGATGACGTTGCGGTTTATTTTCTTCCACCGTCGTCGTTCTCTCGCATGTAGGATAGGAATAGGAGACACGCCGAAGTTTGTTGCTTCAACATTCCTGCGGTATTCGACGATCGTCGCCTTCACTTTAGACACGTGTCGATCTTCCGGATGCAATTAAGGTCGCAATCGCGCGAGACGGCACTTCTCCTCCGGATTTCCTTTCTCTCTTTAGGAGCTGCCCGTTGTAATCGTCTTAATTCGTCCGCATAAAGTAAAAGTGGGTGGGTTGAAAAAGGTAAAAGGAAAGGGAAGAATGACTACACAGTAGAAAAATTTGTGTTTTCTTGTTAAAATTTTTGTGTTAAATACACATTCATGTGTTAATTTAACATATTACTGTTCTGTTAATTGAACTTAAATGTTAAATTATTAAAACAACTGACAAAAAATGTAAAAATAACACAATGTGCATCTATTTTTTATTTTACACAATAAATATGTTCTGCTTTATTAGTGACAAGATTTATCTGTTAAAATTTATAGAAAAAAATGTTGATTTTCCATTTATAACATAAGTGGGGATGATAAAATCGTAAAATTAATATATTTTTTATGAATTTTTACATTAAAAGTATGTTAATTTTACACAAAATTTATTTTAAATTATTTGAAGTTTTGCATTTAGTTTGTGTTAAAATATTAACACAACATTTGTGTCTCCGTTTAACATATCGATATTATGTTAAATTAACACAAACATTTCTGTGGACCGTTTGGGATATGTGATATCTGTTAACAGAAATTTTTTAACTGTGTATTATATCATGTATCGTAATAACGCGTGTAATACGAGATCTTTGAAAAAAATCGTAAGAAGGAAAAGAAAAGCAATTAGAATTATAAAAAAATATTACGTAAGATTTTGGTAGTTCAAAGTCATCGTATAGTATACTTATGTCGAGTGACTTGCATGATTTGACAAATGTGTAATGATGACTATGAGTTATTTGAAGATATAAAATGTACATATATTGTATATTGCGATACACAACTGTGATAACTTATCGACTGATTTATCCGCAGCAATGTTTCTAATAAAAATTATTTTTGAAAATCATATATTTTTTTATTAAAAAAATTTGAGCAATACTTATTTACAATTTAAATCGTAAGCTGAATATATATTTTTTTACAATGCTCCACTCATAAAAATATTTTTTATAAATGCAAATATATTTATATATGTATATAATATTTATAATCTTTCTCTTTTTTCTTTCTACAGCAAATGCAACATTTAGCGCTCATCAAGTATTCAATTTTGAAAAAAAAATAATAATGCACTTATAATTTTTATTGATAGAAATTGTATATTCTAATTTATTTGGAACATTTTAAAGGTCTCATGAGAAACTTTTATCTAAGAATAGACTGTTACAAAATTCTTGTTTACGTGCGGTGATCAAAATATAAGCCAAAAATAAATCTTTTCGAATTAAAATTTTTCGAATCGAATCGTAATCATCCGGTATGCTTACGTAACATGCACGTGAGTCTCTTTATAACAACATCAGGGACGTAATAGCAAGCGTTATTCCTATCTTGATATTTTATTTTTTACTTAAAAACATAGTCGATAAATATTAATTATATCAATAAATATATAACAGTTTAATTATATATATATAAGAATTGTGTGCGCATAAATCATGACAAATAAACATAATAATAAGTATACAAATTTTATTTATAAGACAGAATAGATCATTTTTAACTCTTGACCGTTTATATTGACATTATTAATTTTATCATTTTATTAATATTAATAGCTACTAGTTTTCTAATATATTAAACCTATTTTCGAAAATTCTAAACCTATAGATTTAATAAAATTGATAATCGCATAAAAATGCGAGGATCACGCTAATAAATTTTTATTGTACGAGCGATTTATTGGATCAAGCGTTATTACTTAATTGCAATTTTATCTTTATCTCGCAATTAGTCACTGTCGTGGAATATTTCCGCAAGAGAATTCGTGGGGAACCTGAATCCCTACCGCTGCGTCGACATATTGGAAGCGTATATGTGTTGATTATCGTCGAATAGGCACTGAACTCAAGCAGTTGGGTATAGACACACATCGGGCGAACAGGCAGATAGATTGATTGACTGCACGCCGGCTGGTTGGCAAAGGCGAAGGTCGATCATTGCCTGACATAATTATTGATTTACGTTTATTGCGTCTACTCACCGTAAATTAGATACTCATTTCCAATATGCAAATTCGCGACATGTGGCGGATATACTCGCACGTCGTTCTTCTTCTCGTCGTCGTGTCCTCGACGTATTGTTCAGCCGTCAACGAGACCAAGTTTGTAAATACAGACAAGTCGAAATTCAAGATACTGAGTGTTTTCGGACATCTCGGGAAGAGTCACTTCGACGTGTTCAAGCCGCTTCTGGAGGAATTGGCTCGCCATGGTCACGAAATCACCGTGATCTCGTACTTTCCGCGAACTGACAGCGCCAAGGCGAAGGAACCGCTGCCTAATTACAAGGACATCAGTTTGGTGGATCCTAAGGTGGGTGTCTACGTCAACGTTGTGGATCTTCATCAAGTCAGTCATTCGCGCTTTTTCCTAGCGACCCAGCTTCTTTTGTTGAGGTCCATGGCTGATTTCGCGTGCCAGACTGGTCTGCGACACCCACTGATCACGGAGTTCCTTCGACGCGACGAGAAATTCGACGTGATCCTCACGGAGAACTTCAACACCGACTGCTTCCTGGGCTTCATTCATCATTTCAAAGCGCCCTACCTGGCCCTCTCGTCACACCAGATCATGCCTTGGACCAACGAGGACATGGGCAACGAGGACAATCCCAGTTACATCCCGAATATATTTTTCGGCCTCACCAGGCCCATGGATCTCATCGACAGAATGAAAAACGCCGTGACATTGCTGTTGTTTAACGCAGCTTACGATTATTGGTTCCGGCCCGCCGATCAAGCCATCGCCAACGAAGTGTTCGGTCCGGATCTTCCTGAGCTTAGTGAAATCGCTCGGCAGTCGAGAGCGTTGCTGGTGAACACCCACAACAGCTTTCATGGCAGCAGACCCCAACTGCCGAACGTGATCGAAGTCGGTGGCCTTCACATTCCGCCCAAGGTCAATCCGGTACCAAAGGACATCGCCAAATTCCTCGATAGCGCGAATGACGAAGGAGTGCTCTACTTCAGCCTCGGCTCCATGATTAAATCGACGACCATGCCGAAGGAGAAGCTGGACGCGATTCTGAACGTGATCGAGTCCATTCCTCGAAAGGTGATTTGGAAGTGGGAGAGCGACGAGTCGCCGCGAAAAATGGACAACGTTATGACCAGGAAGTGGCTGCCTCAATTTGACGTCATGAGTAAGTGAGGAAAAAAATGAATGTTTTATTTTTGTTTGCATAGAGAGTTATTTAGAATCTAGTCGCTATATCAGTATTGATTAGATTAGAGCTTGACTTGTATCTGACATTAATGCGACTGCGGAGATTATATACGTATATGGGTGGATATGCACATGTGAGACCAATTATAATTAATTACCGTAGAATTCAGTTATAGTGCAGTCATGTTTTCTAGTTATTTTTTATCGCGTTTGATTATTATACTTTAAAAGAAAAAGGAAACATTTTCAATTTATTTTTAGCGTTTTAATATATTTTTAGTGTTTTATGCATGTTTCTCTACTCATTTCCCGAAAAAGTTGATAGTAAAAACCGTTGCATTTTTCATTTCTATATAACGCGAAAAGTCATTTGTTGATTGCGACATTGGACTGGTTTTAATAATTAAAATAATTGTGAGTTTTAAACATGAACGTTATAAAATGATGATACATGAAATGCATCGTAATATTTAAAATTGTATATAAGTACATTTGTAATGTAGACAAACAATTGTATACATGAAATGCATCGTAATGTTTAAAATTGTATATAAGTAGTGTTTAAAAACATGTAATAGAATATTTACGTACGTGATAAATGCTAGGTTTTCTTAAGTAGTAAATAATACGTAGTTTACACGTAAATATTTAAAAAAACATTGTGCATTATATGCATAATAATGCACTGATAATTAAGTTGAATTTTTAAAGAAAAAATAAGAAAGAAAGCTCATCACGAACACTTCAGCAAAGAAAGTTCAAATTCAAACTTATAGATTATAATAAACTTCATTATATAAAGTATTTCAAAATTCCCAATTATGATATATTAACGATTATAATAAACTTCATTAGATAAAGTATTTCAAAATTCCCAATTATGATATATTAACGAAGAATTTTTCAAGACATCTGAGCCAATACAAAATTTTCTTCTAAAAATATATTTACGTATATTACTTTTGGTTAAATAATGTATATTTAAAAAAATGTACTTTTTTTTTTAATAATTCTTAAATATACCTTAATAATTATTTTTTATATCTTACTGTGATTTACTAAAGCTTTTGAGATATTATAATACGTTTTGCTATTTAATATACATTACACGGAGAGATGATTTAATGCGTGTAACCTTGGCATTGCGAGCTAAACTAAAAGCTAAATTTGCAACATCAATATGCGCGCGTGTATGCGCGAAACTGTGACTAACAATAAGAGTTGATTATTATTATCACACGGCGAGTTATAATTCCGTCGAGTTACCCAAGTCCCCGCGGACACGAGAAATAGCAATCTATCCTTTCAAGTTTTAATGTTACGTTACTTGGATTTAACTGGCTGTATATAATAGTTGCGAGATTACAATTGCGAGATTAAATAAAAGTGTATTACTGTTATTGGCTGTCATAACTTATCATATGATTTAATATTGAAAAAAGGAATAAGCGAGATATGTGACTTCTTGTTTTATATATATATATATATATTTAAAAAATCCAGTTTTAATCTGAAGAGACATTAACTCTTATCAAAGAATCATTTTGTAAGATAAGATAAGTCTTAACCTGAAGAGACATATCACTCTTATCAAAGAGTCGCTTTTTAATTTTCACTTTCTCTTTTGATAATATTGTGATTTGTTATAAGAAAGTTAAATCTCATGCAATTGATTACTTTTGTTATCACTCAACTGTTAAATATGTATATAACTGAATTATATTCAATCGTAAGAAGTTTGTTAGGATTGTAAATATTTTATTATTTTACTCATTAATTAACTAACGCAAAGGAAATATGTATGGTTTTCTATGTTTATGCTGTTTGACATATCTATTAACAGATTGAAAAGTATATAAAAAAGAAAAAAATATTTACGTGTGCAGATTATAAGACTCAAACATATTTTTATGTTGAGATTACTTCACAGTTTTTTATCTTGACATTTTTAATGGACACATTTATTTAAGTTTTATTTTTTTGTAAAAGATTGAAAGTTTTTTTATAATTTCATGATCTTGTAAATTATCTGGAACTATTATTTTTAGTGATAAAATCTCATTAAATTATTATGTAAAATATAAAAACCAATTCATGGACACACAATGATCAGCAAGTGATCACTCTGTGTCCATGTGATGTTTATCTCATATTATCGCTGATATTAATTAATTGCTATCGTGCTAATTTTATTTACATCTGGATAATGTACACTATAAATAATAATTTTTTTAATCTAATTAAATTTTAATCGTAAAAATTGTGATAAAAATGATTTATTTATAGAGGTATGTTTAGATTACAAAGCTCAATCATATTTACTGTTTTAATGATTTATTTGAGGAAATAGACCTTAATTGTAACGTACAGAAAATATTCAAAATTATATTTTACTAACAGGTAAATTATATTCTAATAAATACATCATTTTACTTCTCCAAACCTCAAAATCTTTACGATTAAAATTAAAATTAAAAATAAATTATTGTCCATAGTGTATATTATTCATATTTGCACAAAATTAACATGATTAAATATGAGTTTTTATCACTAAAAAAATGTTTCTGCATAATCTGCAGGTCAAAAAATTATAAAAACATTTTCAATTTTTATAAAAAAAATAAAACTTAAATAAGTGTCTATTAAAAAAACGCAAAAAATATAACTGCAAAGTTATCTCGACATAAAAATATATTTGACATAAATATATATTTTCTGATAACCTATACACATTTGTATATGCAAAGTTTTTCCGCTAACAATCGTGATTATATAATTTTCGCGATAATATTTCAAATAATAGAATTGTACGCAACAGTTATGTAAAACGTTTGATTCGTTAATTATCTACAGTCAAGGCTTCCTTACGCTAACTAACGTCATAATATCGATCGCGTGACAAATTCGCGCGTGACGTCGCGTCGATCCGGAGTCACGGATATAATTTCGCATCGCGACAGTCGCGTTTCCGCGTTCTTTTATAGCAGGGAGAGTCAAATCGCGCGCGCGCGCACGAATTTGCAATGGTAATGCCCTGCTAAAAATTTCACCGAGTCGTTTTAGATACCTTTTGACATATTTTATTGCCCTCGCACTATACGTGGGCACGCCCGATGATCGACGGCTGCACCTGCGCGAGCGATTTTTTTTTTCGAGTTTTTCCCTTATTTTTTTGCCATTTTTTTGACCTTTTTATCGCGCTGTTCGCGGTTAAACTGTACTGACGGCGGAACGGGATGGAAACATCCCGTTTGTCCGTTCCTTCCGGTCTCACTCTGTTTTCTGTTAATAATAATGCTCCCTTTTATCCCACAGGATCGGCTTTACACGCTTTCGCGAAACGCGATTTCGACTGTGAAGCTATTTTTTTTTCAAAGGCCTCTATAATCGATAGTCCGCTTATTGCATTTATCTCTTTTTCCCATTTTTTTTTGTCTCCGCTGTGTTTTAGTTACATTGAGTAATAGTCGGTAAACACATATATCTAAGCCTTGATGTTGCATCAACACTTATCTAATCACTATAATGATTGATGATTTAATGCGTGATGTGTAAAATTTTCTCTATTTGATACGACGATCGAATGTCACTTTCACGTCGATTATTATGGCTTTTTGTGTGCTCATGTAATACAATCGCCATTGGTAATTTTATGCTGAATAGAATTACCTTTACAATCTACAAGCGTATTTCACTGTCAGCGATACTATTACAAAAAATATAAAACTCGCCTGTATTCTAATACGTAATACGTAACAATTCACTGACTTTTGTAATCGCATAGTTATATGTCAGCAGTAGCTAATCTAAAAATAATGTCTCTTATTGACAGAGGCTATCATGCTTTTCTTGCCTTCATTAATTTGAAAGACTATCGTTTTTCCTCTTCTTTTTATGGATACGTATACGTAATATTCTAAGACATTATCAAGTTACTGAATGATAGTAATAAATCAAAGAAATGTTTTCGGATTATCGAGAGAGATTTGCCCGGTAAAAAATTTGCTCGGTAAAAACACAAATTTTCCTACTGTATACCTAATATTCTAAGACATTATCAAGTTACTGAATGATAATAATAAATAAATGTTTTCGGGTTATCGAGAGAGATTTGCCCGGTAAAAAATTTTTTATATATAACAATATAAAATTATATAGAAATATATAAAATTATACATATAATCGCAAAATTATTTATGAAATATGTCCATACATAATTAGATAAACGTGCTTTTTATATATAATTATATAAATATATATATATATATATATATATATATATAATAAATAAGTATTTCTTCATATGTATAAATATATATGTTTGTATATAATTTGACATATGTATAAATCCTTATAATTTATATATAATTATGTATAAAAATAGACATATTTTACATATAATTTTACGATTATATGTATAATTATACAATTATTTATATACAATTATATATAAAAAAATTGTTTACCGAGTGCGATTTAAAAAAGACTTTAGACTCGTGACGCACGAGAATTAGAATTATGCAAAATCGCGCGCGAAAAGACAATGAGAGAGAATAATTCGTGTTATGAGATCATCTGGATCTGTGTGTTGCGTCGGGTATGTGTTATTCGACCCGAATAAACGTGTTTATCATCGGCCATGACCGCGAGAAATTGGAATACTTCCGGAAAGAGCCGGGATTCTCTCCGGTTAAGCGAGTGCGCGCGCGTCGAAATTTAACTAATCGCGCCGAATTCGCGGGGAAATCGGAATCGGCGTCCGCGAAACATTGAAAGCAGCTTTCGAATCCTCCAAATCGTACGGCAGCTACGGTATGTGCTATTTGGCCCGGGCCACGTGGAAGCGAGCGTCAAATAGTTCGCCGAACCTGGAAAGCCGGCCTCGGCATATTTGAGGAGCTTTTGCCGCTTTTGGAAAACGATTTGCGCCAAATCTGGAATAGTGATACACGGACGAGTATCCGGGATAATTGGCAG